TATCATTTAATAAAGGTGAAAGCAAATTTTTCATGCTAATGAGATGGATGCAGGTTTTTTGTTTGTTTGTTTGTTTTTTTAGCACAAAGTATTAAATCTTGACCTATTATTTGATACAGGGCACAGAGCATCTTTAATTTTTTTCAGAGCTGGGTAATAGTTTGATTTTACAGTCATCAACACTGAGGATGATGCTTCACATAGAGACATTGTATGAAATGGAAGGAGTATTTTTAGAGCCATTTCAGAAATTGTCAGAAATTCTGTTCTAGTACCAAGTCCAAAGTCACTTAATGATTTAAAAAAAAATAAAATGCAAGTCAGGAACTCAAACGCAATTTTTTTTTCCGGTCATTTTGAGACAGGGTCTCCCTGTAGCCTCAGCTGGCCTGGAACTTGCTATATAGACCAGACTGACCCCAAACTCACAGAGCTCTGCCTGCCTCTGCCTCCCAAGTGCTGGGATTAAAGGTGTATACCACCACACTGGGCTCAAACAGCAATTAAAAATTTTTTTTAATTTAAATATTTTATTTATTATTTTTATTTTGTGTGTATGAGTGTATTGCCTGCATGTATGTAAGTGCACCCATGTCATGCAATGCCCAAGGATATCAGAAGAGAGCATCGGATTTCGCTGGAACTGGAGTTATAGATGGTTGTCAGCTGCCATGCGGGTACTGAGAATTGAACTCAGGTCTTCTGCAACAGCAGCTAGTGCTCTTGATTACTCAGCCATCTCTCCAGCCCTTCAAACAGTAAGTTTTAAAAGCAAACATTCTGATACAATATAATGCAAAGACATACTAATCTGATACTTACATGATGAGGAATGATGGCAGGAAAATATTGTCTTCAGACATTTTAGAAAATTAAGACATGTTTCTACAGGAGCAGAAAATTATATATGCAGGTTATAACACACAATAATCTGGAATCTGAAACAAGGTGTTTGAGGTAGCATCCATTGATTGATGCTGCATGGCCTGATGGCATGTGCAGTTCAAAGTGTTGTGTGTTCAGAACCAAAGTTATAGTAAAGTTTTGAAATGCTACACAGGTGAGCACTGCCAGATACACTTGATTCCTTACACTTTTGATTTTGAATGCATTTTTGGTCACTCACTTTTAAAAATCTTTTTCTGTTGCCAAATTTTTCTCAACTCCCACATTTAGTTACATGACCCGATATGTGGTAAGAACCCATAATTTAAGCAGCTGTGCTCTAGGCATAATATAGTTACAACCTTCCCATGCAATGTGCATCCCTAGGGCTTGTTAGTCTTCATTCCAGACCACTGATCTTGAATCTCTATTTTAACCTGAATCCCGTTAGGATATGAGATTCCCCTTTCTTCAAGACCTTAGATGGGCCTGGCCCCCTTTTCTTCCAGCCTCCTCTGGTCATTTTCCTCCTCTTACTGTTGCCTTTATCCTGTCCTTCATCAACTCCCCTGATACCTCAGGCACCTCTTCACCACAAGGGCTGGTATCTGCTGTTCTTACCGCACGCAATGTTCTTCCTGTCATCTCTTTGCTTGCTACTGGTTAATTCTCTCAGACCTCAGCTCAAATATCATTTAGAAAGATTGCCTTGACTTCAGAGCCTGGATGCCCCCTTTATTACTTAGTGGTGTAATACCTTTGGCTTTTCCTTCAGAGCACCTAATATAAATGGTAAAGATATGTTTATTTGTGTCTGGGTTCAGTGGATGTGCATCATTCTTCTTAGACTGAAACTCCATGGAGACATCCTTGTATTCCTTAGTACAGTGCCTGGAATGTCATAAGTATCCAATAAAATGCATCCCTTGCCATCATTGTCGAGCATTCAATAAATATTTATTGTTATCTAGTATGTGCTAGGTGCTGGACATACATTAAAGTGAAAACCAGTGTTTTCTGCCTTCATGGCACTTACAGTGTAGTAAAGGAAACAGGCACATTACCACAGAAAACAATGTAACAACTGAGGGAAACTGGTAAGAATAAGGTACATATTACTATGAGCATTCAAGAGAGTTGGTCAGAGATTTTATATCTCCTGCTACTTAATATATAACAACATAAAATCCATTTTTCCTTTTAAAAAATTGTGTGTGTGTGGTATATGTATATGTGCCTGTGGGTGCCTGTGTAACATGTGTACACGTGTGCATGGAGGCCAGAGGTTAACACTGGGTATCTTCCTTGATTGATTTCCATCTTACCTTTTTGAGCCAGGGGCTTTCACTGAGCCTGAGGCGCATCAATTTGGCTAGACTGGCCAATGGGCTACAGGAATCCGCTTGTCTCTACTCTCCAAGAGCTTGAGTTACAAATGTGTACCACCTTACTCAGTTTTTACATGTATACTGAGAACACAAATTCAGGTCCTCCAGCTTGTATGGCAGGTACTTTACAAACCAAGCCATCTCCCCAGTCCCTAAAAAAAGTCTTTGAGATGCAGAACATGCAATTCACCCATTTAAATTGTACATGTATGGTTTTTAGTATATTTGGAGTTGTGTAATCATCACACCACATGCATTTCTGAATGTTTTCACTGCCCCCCCAAATAACTTAATTCCCTAGACCATCACCCACATCCTCCCCAGCCCAGGGTAACCACTAATTCACTCTCTGTCCCTGTGGATTTACCCATTCTGAACATTTCATATTAAGAGAATTGTACAATTGTACAATATTGTATAATATTTTGTGATTGGTTTTTTGTTTAGCATCTTTTTGAGGCTTAGCCAATGCATTGTTCTCTCTCCTTGTCTGCCCATTTTCCTTCCTTCCTTCCTTCCTTCCTTCCTTCCTTCCTTCCTTCCTTCCTTCCTTCCTTCCTTTCCTCCCTCCCCCCACCTTCATCTCATGTAGCCCTGGCTGGCCTCAAACTTACTATGTACCTGAGGATGATTTTGATCTTCTTGCCTCCAGCACGCAAGTGCTGAGATTACAGGCATGTGCCACCATACCCAGATTTTATTTCTTTTTATTGCTGAATAATATTCCATTGTACTGTGCGTGTGTGTGTGTGTGTTTTCAGAAACAGGATCCGGTTTCACTTTTTTTTTCTCCAAAGATAAACAAATTCAGTTTGTCATGTTTCTAGAAAAAGGTGACAGTAAAATGTTGGCTGAGCCTTACAAGGGTGGCAGCCATGTGTAGAAAGCTGCTTTTCATGACTGATTTTATTTGCTCAGTTTGCTTAGTCTACTTGGTATTTCAGAAGCACAAACGGAAGTGATTCTATTTTGGCATTCTCTCCCCTTTTCTTGCTAGGTCCCTACTGACTTTCTGTGTTAAATTATGCAAGTTACTTTAACTGTTTATTTAACTCCTGCGTGCTCTACAAAACAAGCCGAGTCCAGCCTGCTTGTTTGCCAAGGCTGTTTGGAGACAATTTCTCATATGATATGCACCATCAGCTCCCACAGAAGGCAAAAGGAATTTGGTGTGTGGGGGTAGTCTGGGACCCAGTCCAAAATTAGTGCTCATCTGGAAGAAATAGAGAAGCCTAAGTCTTGCTTGCTGGTCTTCTAGTAGTTTCATTGTTTATCCTCTAAGGAATTTTGCAAATCCTTATCACATTGGTGGTTTTTTTTTTTTTTTTTTCTTCTATATGGTAAGATTTTTTTTTTCTTTGTAAAATTATTGAACCAGATAAAGTCTTCTGATACTCCCTATTAGCTCACTGTGAATCAGAGTAATTTGAGACTTGGGGAAGGATTACCCATAACTTTCTTCTCTTCCCTCCCCTTCCCTCCCTTCTTTCTGTTCTCTCCCCACCTTTCCCCTCCTCTCTCTCTTTTCCTCTTCCTTCTCCTTCCCTTCTCTCCTCTCCCAAGACTGGTCTTTCTAGCCGTCCCCCATCGTCGCTTCCCCCCGACCCCCGCGCCGCACTAGGGATGTAAAATCCAACTAGATTTAAGTTATCATTCATCCGGCCATTCAATATACTCTATGCTGTCTGCCGAGGAGGATGCAGAAAAGCAAAACACTAAGCTTTGCTTTCAAATGTTTACAATCTGATGGAGAGTTATGGGGTGGTCCATAAGGAGAAAGTGTGTGTCAACAGCTACAAAAACTAGAAGTGGAGGGAGCAGAAACAGGAGCAGACATTTCTGCCACGTGGGGCCATAGGCACAGTCACATGGAGATTGTTTGGTGCTATATTTAGAGAATAAAACTTTTAAAGGTGGGGCAGAAAACAGCATGTAAACCTTCTCAAGGGTCTTTCTCGGGATGGGAAGGTAGACCACAGTCGTTTGAGGTGTGAAAATCTTCTGGGAACTCTAAACCTACACAAGTTGGATGGAAGCCTTGCATACCACGCAAAGGAATCTATTCATGGTTATTTAAACGTCAGAAAGACAGTGAAAGCCTTTGGCAAATTGTACTCTATTTCAGTAGGACGATGAATTGGCAAAACGACAGTTAAGGACAAGAGACTTAGCAAGAGGTTGGTACAACAATCCAACTGAGGCAGAAAATGGCAAGGAGGTTGGTGACCAACCGCGCAACAGGCTTTGAAGCCTAGGTGTGGAGTAGGCTGGGGGTACAGAACCCCTTGGGACAGAACTTCTAACACTGGGAGGAGCCCAAATTATAGACACACCTTCCAATGACGCCAGGTGGCCGGCTGCGGCCTCCGATTGGATCCTTCGGCTGCCAATCCTGAGAAGAGGCGGTGCCTCTCCCCGGCCGCCCGCTGCTCCGAACTCTGCCGGCGCAGGCAGAGAGCCGGGGAGCCCGGGGAGCGGGAGCTGGCGAGGCCGGGGCTGGGGCGCCGCCGCGGAGGTAGGCAGGTGGGCAGGGCGCGGGGTCCGGGCCGCATCGAGGACTCAGTCCTCAGGATCCCGCGTCCCGGGGAGCGCGCCGTCCCGAGTGGGGGGTAGCTGAGCGGGACAGGGATGCAGCGCGGGACGCGTCCTGTCCTGCTCGGCCTCCGGGTCCCGCGTCGTCCGGGGCAGCGGGCAGGGGGAGGCGCCCCGCAGCCCTACGTCCCCTGGGCTCCTGAGACGTTCCGTTTGAAAAGTGGGGCCGGGGCTTGTGGCACCAAGCGGGGATCGTCGCGGGCGCTGCGGGGCAGCTCCCTCGTCCCCGCGCGCCGAGGGTCCCGCGGGAGATGCTGCAGCTCGGCCTGCGCTTCTGGAGGATAGCGCTGTGAATGACCAAAGTTCTCCAACTTGATGGAGTGTCAGAGTGCCCTAAGGTGATCCAACCTGACATTCAGCTGCCCCTGCCTTAATAGAGCACTTTAAAAAGACGCTGTGGGATAAGCTGAGCCATTCGCGTTGCAAAAACCCTCTTCTACCTGTAGGTCACTGACTTCTCTGAAAACAGGAGTCTTTGCAAGCCTGGATCACAGGGCTGTGTGTGTCCCCAAGGAGAGTGGAGCAAGGAGCAGGCAATGTTCGGGCAGTGTCGCCATAGGGCAGGCGTGGCCCAAGTGGGGCTAGGTGGTAAGGTTCCTTAAACAAGGCATGCTTCAGTCTGTTTAAGACAGACATCTTTTCTGTATTAGGGGGAAAAAATGACACAACTCAGGGCCCAAACTGTTCCTTAAGAGAACTAAAGAATATGAGGGACTGAGCCAAATTTCATCAGCATAAGTTTGTGTAGATGAATTCTTTCTTTTCTTTCTTCTTCTTCATCCTCTCCCCTTCCACTCCCCCCCCTCCCCTTTTGGGATTTGGAAGAGAAACAGGAAGTCAGAGATTCGGAGAAAAGAGCATTCACTCCTCAATTGTAAACAGTTTATTTTATGTCAATAAATAATTTCAAAAGTCATTGGAGGTCTTTGGAAAACCACGAATTTTTCCTGTCTCTTGCAGAGAAGGTAGATCACGTTTGAATAAAAAATCTAGAGATTTAGAAATTGACTATAACTCCCAAAACTGTGTAGCTCTAACTGGGTGGTGATTTTGTTCAGAATTAGAATTTTAATTTTTTAATTTTAATTTTTTATTTTTTTGTCTTTTTGAGACAGGTTCTCCCTGTAGCCGCAGCTGGCCTGGATTCGGAGATCCGCCTGCTTCTGCCTCCCGAGTGCTGGGATTAAAGGCGTACGCGAGAATTAGAATTTTTAACTACTCAAGATGGTGCATTCACGGAACAGTTACCTTCTGCTTATTTAACAGAATTACAGAACCAAACGGGGAAATCAGGTGTCCAGACCTTGGGCCATCCTGAAATCAATCTGCAGTTTTGAATTTATTTTATTATGGCCCAATTAATGGGGACTGCAGGTGTTAATTACCATTTTAATTATATGCCTAAAGCTTATCTACTTCACTATAAAAGGCATAATTATCATAACTAAAGAAAATAGGTGTGTTTAACTTTGAATTTACTTATTGTCTCATTTTCATAGAAAAGTACTCTAGGTAAGGTCTTTGTGCTGTTCTTTTCAGAGCTGAGGTTAACAGTTCCCAGTTATTTGAGTTAATGGTGAAATTCTTAGCAGGGATAACCATGTGTAATGAATCATTAAGTTTTGTAAACTTAATGGGCTCCTAGTACACATTCATTTTTTCTTGTTTGTCTATATGTCCCTTTTTTATTGAGATACAATTCACAAACCATAAAATTTACCCTTTGAGAGTGTATAGTTCAGGAGATTTTAGTGCATTTGCAAGGTTGTGCAGGGTATTGTGTATTTGCAAGGTTGTGCAGAAAGTATTCTAATTTTAGAATGCTTTTTTCATCCCCCAAAGAAACCCTGTGCCTATTAGTAGTCCTTCTCCATTGGCATCTCCTCATAGCCCTTGGAAACCACTGACCTGCTTTCTGTCTTTGTGGACATTTCATATAAATGGAATTATATAAAGCCTGGTAACTTTTACTTTGAATACTGCTTTCAATGTTCATAGGCAGTTATAGCATGTAGTAGACTTTTACTTCTTTCTATGGCTGAATAATGTTCTATTGGAAATCTATACCATGTTTTATCTATTCATCTTATGATAGACATGAGTTTCCACTATTCAGTTATGAATAATGGTGTCATTAACACTTATTTTCAGGCAAAACTTGACTAAGTTTTGGTATAGACAATGTATTTACTTCCTTTGGGCAAATACTTAGCATTGGAGTTGCTGGGTTATATGATAACTTTAATGTTTAAATTTCTGAGTAACAGTTGAACTGTTTACAAAGCAGTTATAACATTTTTGCAGCACTACCAACAATATATGAGTTCCAATTTCTACACTTTCTCATCAACCCTTGTTAGTCTATGCTCTTATTTCATTATATCGATTCCATTTGGTATGAAGTGGGATATCATGACTTTGATTTTTCACTTACTCTTTGATTTTTCTCTTATAGACATCATGCTGAATATTCCTTTGTGTGCTTATTGACCATTTACATATTCCTTTGGAGAAATGTCTATTATAATTTCATGTGTACATGTATGACTAGTGTTCATGTTCATGTGTACAGTGCATATCCATAGAGAGGCTAGGAGTAAACATCAGATGTCTCCCTCAATCACTCTTCACGTTATTATTATTATTGTTGTTGTTATTGTTTTGGTTTTTTGAGACAGGGTCTCACTATGTAGCCCTGGCTGGCATGGAGCTCCCTGTGTGGACCAGGTTGGCCTCAGACTCACAGATTCATTTGCCTGCCTCTGCTTCCCAAGTACTAGGATTAAAGGTGTGTGCCACCACACCTGACTCTCACTTATTCTTTAATGTTTTATTTATTATTTTTATTTTATGTGTATGAGTGTATTGCCTGCATTTGTGTAAGTGCACCTGTGCAATGCAATGTCTGCAGAGGTCAGAGAGGGCATCAGTTCCCCTGGAGCTGGAATTATGGATGTTAGCCACCATGTGGGTGATAGGAGCTGAACTCAACTGAGTCCTCTGCAAGAGTGCTCTTAGCCCCTGAGCCATCTCTCCGGCCACATCAACTTTGTTACGTGGGTGCTAAGGATCGAACTCAGATTCTCCTGCCTGCATAAGCACTTTACCAACTAAGCCATCTTTCCAGCTTCTAATTTTGCCTGCTTTTTAAATTGGGCTGTCTTTTTATTTTTCTTTTTTGATTTATTTTTTATGTGTATGAGTTGTGCAATACACACAGAGGCCAGAAGAGGGTGTTGGATCCCCTGGAACTAGAGTTACAGATAGTTGTTAGCCACTATGTGAGTCCTGGGAACTGAACCTGGGCTCTCTGCAAGAGCAGTCAGTGCTCTTAACCACTGAGCCATCTCTCTAGCTCCTGGGTTGCCTTTTTTATTGATTGAGTTGTATGAGTCCTTTCTATATTCTGAACCCAAGTCTCTTAACAGATACATGTTTTTCTATCACTTTTTAAGGCTATAGTTGTACATTCTTCACAGTGTAAGTGAAGCTCATAATTCTTTTTTAAAATTTATTTTTAAAAATATTTTATTATTTTTATTTTATGCATATGCCTTTATTGCCTGCATGTAGGTAAGTGCACCCATGTCATGCAATTCCTGAATAAGTCAGAAGAGGCTGACTGATCCCCTGGGACCAGAGTTATAGACAGTTGTCAGCTGCCATGTGGGTGCTGGGATTCAAACCCAGGTCTTCAAGAACAACCAGTATTCTTAACCACTGAGCCATCTCTCCAGCCCAATAATTCTTATATTTTGATGAGGTCTTATTTATCTGTTTTTCTTTGGTTATTTGCCCTTTAGAACATATATAAGAAACGGTTATGAAGTGTATGAAGATGTACACCTGTTTTCTTCTAAGAGTTTATACCTCTGGCTTACATGTAGGTCTCTGATGCATTTTATGTTAGTATGTGTAGGATGAAGGGGAAGACAGTTCATTCTTCTGCATGTGACTATCCAGTTGTCCCAACATCATTTGTTGAAAATATAATCCCTACTGATCTTGATACTCTTGGTACTCCTCTAGTGATCTTGGTACTTTTGTCAAAAAATCAGTTGATTATGTGGGCTAGAGAGATTGCTCAATGGTTAAGAATACTGACTGCTCTTGTAGAAGACTTGGGTTTGGCTCCCAGCACCCACATGGTAATTCCAGTTCCAGGAAAATCTGATGCCCTCTTCTGATCTCTGTGGGCATTGCACACATGTGTGTACCCTCATGCAGGTAAAACACTACTACACATAAATCAGTTGATTGTAAACATAAGGCTTTATTCCATTGATCACTCTGCTTATTCTATGTAGGTATCATATGGTCTTAAGTACTGTAGCTTTATAGTGAGTTTTGAAATTTGAGCATGGGAGTGAGCCTTAAGTTTTTTTTTTTTTCTTTTGTCTTTTGTTGAGACAGGGTCTCCCTATCTCCCTATAGCCTAGCTGGCCTGGAATTCACTTTGTAGACCAGGCTGGCCTTGAATTCACAGATATCTGCCTGCCTCTGCCTCCAGAGTGCTGGGAGAATACTTAAGTTTTTAAGATTATTTTGACTATTTGGGGTCCCTTGAATTTCCAGGTAAGTTTTAGGCTCAACATGCCAATTTGTGCCAAAAAAAGATACTCCAGTTGGAATATCTGCAGGGATTACACTGAGTCTGCCCCTCCACTTGCTGAGCTGTCATCTGTGCAAATGACGGCATCCAGTCCATGGTTGCAATGTCTTGCATGAATGAAATGTCTTCAGTTATTTAGATCTTTCATGTCTTTTGGTGGTGATTTATAGTTTTCAGAGTAGAGATCTTGCCCTTGTTCTGTTAAATTTATTCCTAAGTATTTTATTCCTTTTGATGTTATTGTGAATGGAATATTTGGGAGTTTTTCTTTGCTAGTGTACAGAAGAACGAACAATTTGATTTTTCTGTATTTATGTGGTTTCCTGAAACCTTACTAAACTTAGTAGTTCTAACATGTTTTGTGCATGTTCTTTGAATTTTCTATGTGCATGGTCATGTTGTCTTTAAGTAGATAGTTTTGCTTACCTTCTAATCTTGAAACCTTTTACTTTCTTGCCCTGACTATATCTGTAGTATAAGGTAGAACAGAAATAGTGAGAGCAGACTCTTTGTCTTTTCCTGATTTTTAAGGGGAAAGTTTTCCACCATTGGCCAGTGTGAATGTTGTCAGCTGTGGGCTTTTTTGGAGATATCCCTTATAAGGATGAAGAATTTCCTTTTTATTGCTAATATGTTGAATTTTTTTCTTATGAAGAGATACGGATTTTGTCACTTTTTCTTCCTGTGCTGTAGAAATGATCATGTGGTTGTTTTTGTCCTTTATGCTATTCATATGGTGCATTGCCTTGATTTATTTTCATTTGTTGAAAGCATTCATGTACTATTTATGTTTTTTTAATTCTTTATTGCATTTGCATGCAATGAAAGTTTAAAGAAAATATTTTTCATTATATTTGCATACAAGAGTAATATTAAGAGATTCTAATGCATCTTTTCATTTTTATTGAATTTTTGGGAATTTCATATTTCATTTGATTTTTTTAAGGTATTTTTTTTGAGACAGGGTCTCCCTGTAGCCCCAGCTGACCTAGAACTCACTATGTAGACAAGCTTGGCCTCAAATTCACAGAAATCCACCTGCCTCTGCCTCCCAAGTGCTGGAACTTAAGGTGTGCACCACCACGCCCGGCTCATTTGATCATATTTAGACCCTCCTCCCCTGTCTGCACCCTTCCCTTAATATTTCCTGCCTGATTTCATGTAGTCTGCATATTGAGTACAGTGTGTGTCCCCAAATGCCCTTTGATGTGGGTTTATTCACTGGAGTCTGGTTAACTTATCATCACATGCTTAAAACCAACTTTCCCTCCTCCAGCACCTATTGGTTGCAATAGTTACTTAGCTAGTGCTGGGGTTTCTTACCCACTTCTCCACCTCTATGCTGGAATTTTGTCTGACTGAAGCTCAGTTGGGTCTTGTGTATGCTGCCACCATTGATGTGAGTTCATTTGAGTAACTGCTCAGCTGGCTGGAAAACTTTTTCCTTGTGGTCATATACCACCTCTGACTCTTACAGTCTTTCCACCCCCTCTCCTGTAATGGTCCCTGAGCCTTAGTTGGTAGAGGTTTGATATAGGTGTCCTATTCAGGGGTAACCACTGTGCAGCCTCTTATTCTTTGCACCTTATTCCTGTTGATGTTATTTTAAAAAAATTACAGGCTGGGCATGTAACTTGTTGGTAAAGCTCTTATCTACCAAGCACAGAACTGAATTCAATCCTAAGCACCTCAAGGAAAGCAAACACCTGTACACTGAAATATAAAGAAGTTATTCTCATTGTAGAACAAAAATTACTCAATATGAGATAAAGTCTGTTGCTTAAGGCAGAAAAGTGTTCCTATATTTCTCCACAATTGTATGAATGGCTTAGGAATTAAGAATGTCTATTTTATTACTGTTTTAAAAAATATTTTTATTTTATGTGTATGAGTGTATTGCCTGCATGTATGTAAGTGCACCTGTGTTGTGCAATGTCTGCAGAGGTGAGAAGAGGGCGTCAGATTCCCCTGGAACTGGAGTTACGGTTGTTTGTTAGCCACCATGTGGGTGCTAGGAATCGAACCTGGGTCCTCTGCAAGAGCAGCCAGTGCTCTTAACTGCTGAGCTATTTCTCCAGACCATTTAAAAAATATTTTATCCATATTTTCTTTCCCTATATCACCTTTAAAGAGAATAATGAGGGAAATGAAGTCCCAGTAGAATGGAAAAGTTTGTGATCAACAATCTACACTATCTACTTCTAAGTCATTGATAGTAAATGCTGAAGTGAAACAGTAATAATAAATGTTAATATGGGCAATGAAAATGTCATTCACAAAGCTAATATTAAAAAACTCCAGAAAACAGTAGGATTGGGAGTCTGTTAGAGAATCATCTCTAGCTCTTCAATGATGTTTCCCTCAATATATGGCCAGGGATTTAGGGGCATCTGAAATCTTTGCCAGTGGCTGTGATGATCCTTCATAAAAAGTTGTAGCTTTTGTAGAACAGTTTTTTAATATTTACTTATTTCTAAATTATTGAATGATAATTTCAATATTAAGGTGAAAACTGTCTTAAGCACAAAATATTTATGCTAGAAAAATGATTTTTCCAGTGAGTCTTTAGTAGTATGCAGGGTTGGTTTTTGGTTTTTTTTTTTTGTTGTTTTGTTTTGTTTTTTTTGTTGTTGTTGTTTTTTTTGAGACAGGATCTTACTATGTAGTCTTACTATGTCCTGGAACTTGGAACTCACTATGTAGTCTAGGTTGGCCATGAACATATTGCAGTCCTCCTACTTCAGCCTCTGGAGTGCTGTGATTATAGGTGTGAGCTTGTAGCACGCTATTTTTTAAAAAAAATTGGCATACATTTAAGGAAGGGGCTATATTATGCTAAACACTGCTAAAATAAATTTGGTCCTTCTTTTATAAAACAAAAGAATATTCAACAGCAGAATCGCTGGAGTTCTGAGTTTTACCATCAGTGCTTTCTTTGGTGGCTACTTGACTCCTACAGGAGATCCATTCCTAAAGTAAATTTGATCAGTTCTTATCAAAGGCCATTCAGAAATATATTATTAGGGTAATAAAGCATTAACATTTAAAACTACCCTGAGCCAACCAGAAACAACCATGCTTCGTAAATCAAGTAGCTTTTTAGAATTTTAAAACTTGCTCCCTGACCTCTAGTCTTCCTACCTACTGTGCCTCTCCCTGGGGGTTATCTTCAAAAGGACAGTTAATATCATGGAAAATACCAAATCCAGTTTTTTCAATGTAGATAACTCCACAAAGTTCCTATTTATATGTTTTCTCTTTTCACACTAAATAAAACTCCTGTATACTTGTCAGGCTCATAATACTTTACCTAGTTAAATATGCCAAAGGACTTCTGGTTTGAGGAACTTAGCCTAGACGTGGATAAATCCAGAGTTGTGCTAAGCCATCAATTTAATGCAAATCTAAACTATAATTTTAGCACAGGTATGGTATTTCCTTATTTTATCATATTACCAACTGCTTCGCATTGTAATACCTTGAAAATTTAAGAGGTACTTGCTAACATAATAAAATTAAAGCTTGTGATTAAATTATGAGCTGATAGAATTTTAAAAAAGTCTTGATTGTGCTGTTGTATTGTTCAAGGTTCTGTTGCAAACAGAAATATTTCATTTGTTCCTCACAGCATGCATGAGAGGCTTATGATTATTAGTGTCCTTTTTAAAAGAAGTTAGGTAAATGGAGACATAGAAAAATTAAGTAGGCTTAAAATTAAGTTTGGCTTCCATCTCTGGCCTCTTGTCTGTCATCAGGTTCTTTCCACAAACTGTAATTAAGTGCCGGATTTATCTTAGAATTTAGAACTTGCATCTGGATAGCATGTGGTAGTGACTACATTGTGTATTGAGTGATTTCATGCATTATCTTTGATACTGATGTGTTGTTTGAATGTTTTCTTTTTTTTCTTTTTCTTTTTCTTTTTAGAATAAATATGGCAGAGCTTTCAGAGCCAGAAGGACTGGTAGATTGGAAAGAACGATGCATAGCTCTGGAGTCTCAGCTCATGAAATTCAGAGTTCAAGCAAGCAAGATACGAGAGCTCTTAGCAGAGAAAGTAAGCTTTTCTCCCCAATGTTTGTTATTAACCATGTTTCTTGAGCCTTTTCAAATCTCATTACTCTTAGGGGTTAAGCATTTTAAAAATAATGACTATAGGCTGGATGTGGTGGCACACACCTTTAATCCCAGCACTCAGGAGGCAGAAGCAGGCAAATCTCTGTGAGATCAAGGCAAGGTTGGTCTACATAGCAAGTTCCAGACCAGCTGGGGCTACAGAGAGACCTGGTCTCAAAAAAAAAAAAAAAAAGAGTATATAAGTTAACTTTTTTGGAACTACATTTGACTTGACATATTCTTCCACCAAATACAGGACAAAAATGTCTATTTGTAAATACTAATGGAATGTGTGAAAATTATGTGTTTGATGAGTGTGGAGGTTTTTTTTTTTTTTTTTTTTTTTTTTTTTTTTTGGTCTTTTTGAGACCAGGTCTCCCTGCAGCCCTAGATGGCCTGGCACTCACTATATGGACCAGGCTGTCCTCGATATCACAGAGATCCAGCTTCTCAACTTCCCAAGTGTTAGGATTAAAGGTGTGCTCCACCACACCGAGCTGTTAGCATTTTGATCTTCTTAGTGTTTTAAGAATATTGTGGTGGTTTGAATGAAAATGTCCTGCATAGGCTCCAAGTGTTTGGACATTTTGTCCCCAGATGATGGTACTGCTTTGGGAGGTTTTAGAAGGTGTGGCTGTCCTGGAGGAAGCACGTCACTAGCGGTGGGCTTAGGGAGTTCTTAAGCCTTGCCAGATCTCCAGTCGCCCTCTTGCTTCCTGTGCCTGTGTGATGATGTGAGAGCTTAGCTTCTGCTGCTCCTGCTCTAGCCACCTCCAGCCACCATGCCTCCCTGCCGTGACGGACTTTAATTCCCCTGGAACTGTAAGCTCAAATAAACTCTTCTTTCTATAAGTTGCTTGGGTCAGTGTTTCTATCATAGCAACAGAAAAGTGACTAATACAAATATTATTTTAAGTCAGGTGTGGTGGTACAAGCCTACAATCCCAGCATCAAGGTTAAGAGGTCACAAGCTTAAGACCAACCTGAGCTACAAAGTAAGACCCTGTCTCAAAAACAAAAGCAAAAACAAATCATTTAAAAGTAATTAAAGAAACCTATCTCCTGATAGTAAAATATGTTTATATTTGAAAGTATGCACCTGTTCAGGAATTTCTATTAACTAATTGTATATTATGAAACCATCATTTGGGCTAGAATTAGGTTCAGTATAATTATATGCTTCCATTACTAGTTCTAGAAAAGTGATTTAGAATTTTATGTCATGGGATTTTTTTTATAAATACATATATCCAATAGATCTATTTATTCATCCAGCAGATACTGAGGGATAATGATGTTCCACTCATTTTTCTTAATACCAAAGTTACCTCAGTTACCATGTCTGTTACCTCAGACAACCCATGTTTCTGATTCCTGGGAACTTGGTTTCTGGACCTTGCTGTCTGGTATGATAGCTATTAGCCACATGTAACTATTGAACATGTTAAACAAGCCTAGTTCAAATGCATAATACACAGTTTCAAAGATTTTGTATGAAAAAAAGATAAAACATCTCAGCAATAATTTTTGTATTGACTGTCTTCTTGACAGTATCTTGAGTTAAATGAGCAATATTCTACTAACTTCCCTTTTTGTTTTTTTACTGTGTGTTCTAGAGAACTTAAAATTAACATGTGATTCACCTATTTCTAGATAATGCTGTCTAGATGGATGAATGATAGTTGTGGTCATTCAGAGTTTACAGGTGTTTTCTTAAACTCCAGTTCTCATAATTCTTTTTGGATGGAGACTGGTACATGTGTGACTTCTCTGAAGAAAGTCTTAAATCTTTCTTCCTTCTTAGCAAAGAATCCCTTAGGAGTGTCCTAATATAATCCAGTAATGTACCATTTTGTTGAAGCCTTCATATATATCATTCTTAACTTTTGGGTAGAAAGACAAAGGTTATCCTAGTCGGCTTGGGTCAAAGATGAACTAGTAATAAGCTTTGTGGAATGAATCCTCAATATTAATGTGATCTACTTGCTAAAAGAATAAAATTAAAGCTTGAAAAATTGTAGTTTGAATAGCTTTAGCTAAGGGAAGTTTATTTTACTCAAAGGTAATTCTCACCTTTCAATATAAAAGTCCTTTCTCACATCAAGAGGTAATTTATCTAGCATTTTCTACAACACCAACCATGCACACAGTGATTTTGTCTAGTTCTACCAGTCATTCCTTGTCCTAAACCTCCTGGAGGTGACACTTCCTAGTTATTACCTTTGCTTCTCAGTTGCTGACACTGTTGACCACAGCTTTCTTTTCAGAGTTTTCTTGATTTCTCTACTCTCTTAGTTTCTGTATGGAATAAACAGAGGTTCTGTTTATTTGGCTTCTAATTACTTAACCTATTTTTCAAATTTTATGGCAACATTTGTTCTGATTGTGTGTGTGTGTGTGTGTGTGTGTGTGTGTGTGTGTGTGTGTGTGTGTGTGTGTGTGCAGGTACACGTTTCTACTTGGAGGCCAGAGGACAACCTTGGGTGTTGTTCCTCACAAGCTGTCCACCTTTTAATTTTTTGAGACAGGGCCTCCCTATAGCCCCAGCTAGCCTGGCACTCACTATGTAGACCAGGCTGACCTTGATCTCACAGAAATCCACCTGCTTAGGTCTCTCAAGGGAATTAAAGGTATATACCACCATACCCAGTCCACCATGTTTTTTGAGAGAAACTCTCTTACTGGGACCTTGGGCTGGATGATTAGGCTAGACTGACTGGGCAGTGAGCCCCAGGGATCCTCCTTTCTCCACCTCTCCAGCACTGGGATTAGAAGGCAGTTTTGAGGATTAAACTCAGGTCCTCATGCTTATATGGCAAGCCCTTTAGTAAGTGAGTGGTCTCCCCAGCCCCTATTCTGTTCTTTAGAAAACCATTACAACAGATTTCCTTGTGAGAACATATTTTTAATTTATTATTTTTTAACCATTTTAAATATTTTATTTATTATTTTTATTTTATGTGTATGAGTGTTATGCCTGCATGTATGTAAGTGCACCTCAAACCCAGGTCTTCTGCAAGAACAGTCAGTGTTCTTAACTGCTGAGCCATCTCTCCAGCCCCTATTTTATTTTTTATGTGTATGTGTATTGCCTGCATGTGTATGAGCACCTGTGTCATGTAATGCCTGTGGAGGTCAGAAGAGGGCATTGGATTCCTCTGGAACTGGAGTTATGGATGGTTGTTAGCTGCCTTGTGGGTGCAGGGTATTCAACCTGGGTCCTCTGCAAGAGCAGCTGAGCATCTCTTCAGCCCCGAGAACACATTTTTCAAATTTATGTGTTTCTCTATCTGTAAAATTGTAAGTAGTTGTTTATTATCAATCTGTATGCTATTAGATTCATTGTTTTCTTTGTCAGTGATTGAGTTTTAAGAGGGGCATTATTTTAGAATTGCTGTGGTTTCTTCCCCTTTTCCTTTTTTCTAGATATTTATTTTATAACTGTGATTTAAGTCTTTTGACAAATCTAAGAAATAGAATCATTCAAATGTATTTTACATGTTGGAAAATGGCAATGTGAGCCAATTACTCATGGTTTCATAGTAAATATATTCAACACCAAAATAAAAGTAAAGATTTCCACAATATTTTTTGGTATGTTCTATTATGAAATATTTTTCTCTGGTTTAAAAATTCTTTTTTTGGGTCCACTTATGTTTTAATAAACATGCCTAATGTTTATTTATCATGTGTTAAGCACTTTATAGGTATAATGTACTAAATTCATCTAACAATTTGTGAAGTTATAAATTTTGTTCCTGTTTTATGAATTAGGAAACTGATGCTTAATATGGCCGGTACATCTTCTACATGATGCATATTATTACATATTATATATTAATATTATATATGAATCCTTCCAACAATCTTATGAGATAGGCTCTAATATCATCCACTTTCACCTAGGAGGAAAATTAGGCACAAAAGTTATTTAACTTGCCTATGTTCATACCAGAAAGTAAGTGATGGTGCCAACATTTGAACCCATATATTTTTGTCTTTGAAGCCTAAATGATTACCTACCACCTTATATGACTTCTCTGATCTAATTTTATCACCATTCTGCTTTCTCTGGCGTATCTGCCCAATCTATTTATTCTGTCTTCTATTCACCCATGCAGCATATAGATCCACCTCTGTGTGAGGGCAGGAATTTGTGTGTGTTGGTTGCATATGTTTGTAGCAATAACAATTTATGTAACATTACACATTTTTTCAAAGCAAACCCTCTTGCATTGTTGTGCCAGCTGGAGTAAAATATTGCATTCCTGAGACTAGTTAGGTCCCATCTGTACCTTTGGCCTTATGTTAGGACCAGTCTGCTCAGAGCCTTTGCCTCCTACTTCTCCATACTTTCTCCCCACATGGATGCAGCCCCGAGGCTGAAGATGCTGGAGAGAATGAATACTAATTGGATTCTTTAAATCTTTGCCAGGAATTGTGGCCAACTTTCTCCTGGAACAGTTCTAATTCTTAGCTCTATTTTATTGGCTGTGGTTTTAGGTGCCAACTCTAGGTGCTAACTGTGATTACCAAGCTTTTACTGTGACCATTAGGTGGTTCAAACCTTGTGGTAACTCTATAAGGGGTAATTATTATTATTACTGGTCTATAGATATTAGCATTAAGACCGAGAATAACAGATTAGTGTGTCCAATACAGCACAGCTAACAAACAGCAGAGCTGCCATTGAATCACATATCTTTCAGATCTGTTGTGATGCATCTAATGGAGTATTTGGCATATAGAAATAACTCATTATTACTCTCTCTCATGTTCCTCTTCTCCTTTCTCTTCCTTTGGTGCTAAGGATTGAACCTAGGGCCTTACATATGCTAGGTAGGAGCTCTGTCACAGAACTAAACCCATCACCTCTCTTGTATCTTTTTTGTTTGTTTTGGTTTGTTTGTTGTTTTTGAGGCAGGGTCTCCCTCTATAGCC